CCAGATTCCCTAACACGTACCGACGCTTTCACTCATAAAATAACTAAGATATAGCTCTCCTACATTGGAATATTCGCGGTTTCCGTTCTCACAGATCAGACCTACGTCATATCTTTGCTTCTTATAACAACCTGTTCTCCCCTTATCTAAACCACCATAACCCTTTCCCTCATCAACCCCCTTACCCATCTTCGACTTTCTAACATTACTCTAGATAGTTGACGCATAGTAACTATCACCTGACATCCCTTTCCATACCTTCGTATAGTGCTATATGACCTTAGATGTCTCGCACATTTATTTTGCTTTTAACCATTAACCCTCCAACTTCCTCAAATTCATCAACTCTACCCCTACAACCTTCATCAAACACCCCAGCCTCCCTTATTACTACCTTACAGCCTTATTCTCCATCTCCGTAATACTACCCCTCTCAACAACACTCCCGCTTCCACACGCCCCGCCCTTCTACCATCACGAACCCGTCCTGGACAAGTTGTCCATATCGTCGTCCTGCGAAAGTGGGCGCGCAGGACGAGGTGACGCCACAGTAGCTTTAGTATGTAAACATTAACAGTTGCAGGCAACCACAAGGTATTGATGTAATTTTATGGCCCTTTATTGATGTTATCAAAGGATATTTTTGTGTTTGTCAGGTGCAGGTAAGTTAAATATGTATCAGAGGAGTTACAAAACCGATGCAGCGCGTAAAATAAAGACACCTGTGTGATAAAAAGTGAATGTTTACGTTCGAGCCGGTTGCATTCTGGCCAGAAAGGGTCTTGGAGGTTCCGACCGCGGCCTCCTTGTCCTGCTGGTCCTGGACAAGTCTGGACGAACAAGACGAGGAGTTCCGAACGTAGCATTAGTCTAGCCAAATAGATTCGATTTTTCGTGATCATCTGCACGGTCCCTTACTCAGACAACACTCCTCTTTCAGCAGTCTCTCTAAAAATAAGCAGGCAAAGTCTTCTTCCACAGCAACCCCGATCGTTCCTGCCTTGTCGCAGTTACATCCGAATCATAAGCTAAAGCATTGTCAACTCTGACTTTACTGACAAACCCATTCCTCCCCAACCTCATCCCTACCTCAATATTAGTACGGGACTGTCTATCTTCTCGACAAACTACCCTATTTACGACAAGGGTTGATCAGATTGTGGGGACCTACTCGCCTGCCTCGTGGACTATGATGCAGTATTAGTACAATGCTACACCATTCCCCATCGGGACCGCGTAAGTCCTCCACTAATGTTTCCAACTTTACTTTCCGTAAATATGACCTCCCCGTGATGTTTATATTGGCGGAGAGTGCTTCCCTGTCCAGTTAATGTCAGAATTGTTGGCGCCTAATCAACCTTGCCATATATAACCGCTCCACAGCACGATGCCCTTTATGTGCCCAACCTAGCCATAATCGATCAAACTGCTCTGCACAGCCATGCACGTGTGCCAGTTCCTATAATGTTATAGAGGCTGTTGTCCCTACAATTTATCCTACAGTTATCAGATTCAAAGTTGGCCTCCCTTTATGCAAGGCTAGACAGGAAGCACATCGACGCGATTTTTCTGCTGCTACTTACTCCAGTGCTGCCCTTCACAATACACCCCTTCCTCTCAGGATGTGTATACATTCCCCTGTATCTATTCCTCTCCTTCCATACGTTTCCACCTCTTCCCCCTTCCTCTCCCAAGGAAATTCCTTTGCAGTTCCAAATCCAGACATCCCAATCTCTACCACTCCTAAACCTACACATCCCCCTCCTTATTCTATCTTTAGCAGACAATCTAAACGCCCCCCCCCCCCCAATCTTCTTTTACCTCTTCTTTCTCCCACAGACGCCTATCTCCTCTTCCTCACACAAGAAAACCTTTGTTTCTCAGACCTCCCAAACCAAATTTTCCAAAACAATTATGAACAAGCGTCTTCAGTCACAGAATGCTGCGCGACGGTACCGAGTGTAAACAAAGGTCCATGTCTACTACAGCATGCGGCTTCACAGAAGAATCTGTAATCCACGAAA